GTTATTATTGTCTTTCAGGTACTCGAGCTATTATATACTTTCCCAAAAGGTATCAGAATCGCCCTTTTGGAAGAATACATTAACAAACCCAAGCGCTCCTAAAATAATTATCAATTTAATTTTGGGAATTATTTAGCAAAAGTTATTATTGTTTTTCAGTTATTCGAGTTATTATATATTTTCCCAAAAGGTATCAGAATCGCCCTTTTGGAAGAATATATTAGCAAACTCGAGCGCTCCTAAAACAATTATCAATTTAATTCTAGGAATTATTTGGCAAAAGTTATTATTGTTTTTCAGGTATTCGAGTTATTATATATTTTCCCAAAAGGTATCAGAATCGCCCTTTTGGAACAATATATTAACAAACTCGAGCGCTTCCAAAATAATTATCAATCTAATTTTAGGAACTAAGGAAATACCAACTCCACAAGAGGGAAAAAGTTCAAGTCAGCTTTTAGCGCAGCGGCTACATAACAGGCAAAATAGGACTCGGCGGTCCTCTTAAAAGTTATCAACTAGTTAGTCTCATGAAACGGCCAATCTTACACAACATTCAGGTTATCATTTCAACAATTACATTTTTTATTACATATCAGCATCAACACACGAATTCAGTTTGAGTTCCTCACAGTACATATAGTTGAGTGCCACGTCAACCAAATTGCCCGACTATCTGAACTTGTATTTTTATTTTTATTTTTTTGATTCTCCTCAAGGAGACTCCCAGTCGTTTAAACCATTCAACTGGCGTCTAGTCGGGAGAACCTTTTCTGGACTTGGATTCTCACGGAATTAACTCAACCCGACTATCTGAATCTTTTTATCAAGTCACCAGATCCTTCTCTTGTGGATCAAATAAAATGGTCCATCGCTTGTGGACCAAAAACTGTAATAGGCTTCTCACTAGAAAGCCACATTTCAACAGGAAAAAAAACACTGTAACTAGACTTCTTCTCTTAGAGTCACATTTCAACAGTAAAAACCTAAGATTTCAGATATCAACAGCAAAAAATAAAAGGGTTCATTTCTAGTGAACCAAACCTCTGTAAATAGACTCCTCACTAGAGAATCACAATTCAACAGGAAATAAAAGTCGGTCCATCTCTTGTGAACCCCTGTAACTAGACTGCTCTCTAGACAGTCACATTTCAACAGTAAAAAACCTAAAAAATTCAGATATCTTTACATATGTGCCTTTGAGTCATAATAGATATGTTATAAATGTCACAGTAATCCATACTCACGCCCAGTACTACTGATCAAAATTTGGGTTTATCCTACAATACAATATGCAGATTTTGTTTTAACAGGTTCTGCTTACCTTTGTATTGACGGCCGTCTAGATCAGTTTCCTGAGGCGAGCTGGATTCCCGGCTGCTCCTGCGGACAGGTCACCCGTCCTTTCAGATCCGTCTCTTACTTGTCTCCTGTCTCTATCAACTTGTATGGACCGAATTCAGAGTTAGAAAACCATCCTCTTGCTACCAAGTTTTGTTGATAAAACAAGTTTACTGGAGAACGGAGACCAAGTAGAGACTTTCGGACAAGGTGGATGATTGTATAATATAAGGCAGTTTATTCAGAGGTAAAGATATCTGAAAATAGCGTGCACGGACGCGTTCGTCAACCTCGTAGGGAGATATCTGAGAGCGCGCCCCTAACCATTGTGTGCTGACATTTTATACAATAAAATAAAGTAGGTTGATTCTAGTAGTTCCGATCTCCCCATTGGTCCCGATGAGTTGGTCGAGGTCATCTCCATTTCATTGGCTCTGAGTCAGGTTCTCCGTCTCCGGCCTAAGAGAAGGGTTTTTTTGTGTGTGTGTGCTTAACAATGATGATGTGTGTGTATGTGTGTGTATGTGTGTGTATGTGTGTGTATGTGTGTGAGTGTGTGTATGTGTGTAAGTGTGTGTGTATGTGTGTGTATGTGTGTGTGTGCGTGTGTGTGTATGTGTGTAAGTGTGTGTGTATGTGTGTGTGTATGTGTGTGTGTGTATGTGTGTGTGTGTCCTCAGGAGATATCTCGTGAGTTTTGGGAGGACTTGAGAGACTTATGGCCTGGGTTTTGCTCATGGCCACCTGCTGATAAGGCAGACAGGATACAGTCTTTGTGCATTGTATTAAGTCCCAAGGCCCCCAACACAAGATGGGTTATGCACAAGATTTTTAGTCAGACCAAGCTTTAACATAATATATTTACCACGACATCGCCCATATCGCCCTATTGAACAGGCCGCCCCTGATCAGTCGTGTTGATATTTAGCGAATTATTTCCCCAAAAAGATCGGTAGCACACATGTCCATATTCCTTACTTTATCCCATGATGAATGAATGACAGGCACACGCTTGAATTCACGAGATGTGCCTGTATATTATATGTTGTTGAAAATGTATGCAATCAATAACTGTAAGTCGCTCTGGATAAGCGCTAAATGACTAAAATGTAAATGTGAATGTTGTTGTCGTTGATGACGTCATAATGTCTAGTCGGCAATTATTGCTTAGAATTCGAACCACTGAGTTTATAAATGAACGATTCGAACCATTCGAACAGATTCGAACCAATGATTGGAAAAGCTACACAAGCAGCAACATGCAAGAGGTGCACACATGCTTGAACTTGGACTGCAGTTATCCTAAAACTAAAAGCAGAGTTAAAGTGCAGTCAAAATTATTTTTTTTCCTGTGTTTTGTATCATATTGTACAACAGCTGATGAAACTAACACTGTAAAAGTATGGAAAGAAATGTATCAGTGTTATTCCTGATTGTATTTGCAACCAGCAACTATCTATACAGGACCTTGTGGGAAATTGGTTAATAGACCAATAATAAAGAGTTGCAAACCTCTGCCAACAACAGCTAGTTTTCAGGTTCCCCCTCCCACTGGCCTGGGAGGGCATAGGCCCACCCACTTGGGAGCCAGGCCCACCCACTGGGGAGCCAGGCCCAGCCAATCAGAATGAGTTCTCCCCACAAAATGGCTTTATTACAGACAGAAATACTCTTCAGTTTCATCAGCTGTCTGGGTGGCTGGTCTCAGACGATACTGCAGGTGAAGAAGCCGGATGTGGAGGTCCTGGGCTGGTGTGGTTACACGTGGTCTGCGGTTGTGAGGCCGGTTGGGCGTACTGCCATATTCTCTAAAACAACGTTGGAGGCGGCTTATGGTAGAGAAATTAACATTCAATTCTCTGCCAACAGCTCTGGTGGACATTCCTTCCTACAGTCAGCATGCCAATTGCACACTCCCTCAAAACTTGAGACATCTGTGGCATTGTGTTGTGTGACAAAACCGCACATTTTAGAGTGGCCTTTTATTGTACCCAGCACAAGGTGCACCTGTGTAATGATCATGCTGTTTAATCAGCTTCTTGATAATCCATCCACTTGACAGGTGTGGCATATCTTGGCAAATGACAAATGCTCACTAACAGGGATGTAAACAAATGTGTGCACAACATTTGAGATAAATAAGCTTTTTGTGCATATGGAACATTTCAGGGATATTTTATTTCAGCTCATGAAACATAGGACCAACACTTTACATATTGCGTTTATATTTTTGTTCAATATACATTATGAGATCATTATGGATAAGAGCGGTATTATTTGTATTTGTCAAACGGCAGCCATGCATCGATCTTCATGTCACCAGAATAAGACTCTCGATATTTATTGAAAAGGAGAATCAAGCTTATCACTTTGCACATTCACCACCCTGTGAAGTTAATAATTTATTTAATTTGTAGCCTAATAAACTGCACGCTTTCCCGAGTTGTAGTGGGAGGACCACACAATATATCATCACGTGACTCCAACTTTCGTGACGCCATTTCTCGCATAATTAATTTTACCGACACAAAATGTCGAGCTAACAAATTGTCTGTAGGCATTTATAAAATTGTAACAGCAATTAATGTTTCCATCTGCCCAGTCGTGACCTATAAATTATGTTTAACGTTACTGACTGCTGATCTGGGTTATACTGCCACCGTGGGTTATCGGTGATAACGCATAATGAATGCCAGAAAGCGAGGGTCCCGTTTTTGATATACATTCACACACAGAAAAGGCAGCGAGGAAGGTTTGATGTTGGGTAATGGAGGTTTAGGGTTTGGTGGTTAAGGGGTTTGGAATTGGCTTTATGAGGGTTGTGGTCTGTGAAATGGAGAACAAGAGGGAAAAGGACAGATAACATAAATACAGATACCATTAAGTGATGGATAAATAAATAGGGATAAATACAGATAACATAACATGAGCACAGTGGTGTAAAGTATTTAAGTTAAAATACTTGAAAGTACTACTTAATTCGTTTTTTGGGGTATCTGTACTTTACTTTACTATTTATATTTTTTAGTTATATTTTTTACAACTTTTACTTCACTACATTCCTAAAGAAAATTATGTACTTTTTACTCCATACATTTTCCCTGACACCCAAAAATACTTGTTACATTTTGAATGCTTAGCAGGTCAGGAAAATTGTGCAATTCACACACTTATCAAGAAAATATCCCTGGTCATCCCTACTGCCTCTGATCTGGCGGACACACTAAACAGATGCTTCGTTTGTAAATGATGTCTAAGTGTTGGAGCGTTCCCCTGGCTATTTGTAAATAAAACATTTAATGATGCGGTCTGGTTTGCTTAATATAAGGAATTTGAAATTATTTATACCTGTACTTCTACTTTTGATACTTAAGTATATTTTGGAAATAACAATTACCTTTGATACTTAAGTATATTTAAAACCGAATACTTTTAGACTTTTACTCGGTGACTTTCACTTTTATATATAGCCTCCCTACTGTCACTTTATTTTACTTCTGCTCTTTTTTTTCTCAACACTTTTTTTGTTGTTGTTTTATTTTTAAAATAAATGCACTGTTGGTTAAGGGCTGTAAGTAAGCATTTCACTGTAATGTCTGCACCTGTTGTATTCGGCGCATGTGACCAATACAATTTGATTTGATTTGATTTTACTTGAGTCATTTTCTATTAAGGTATCTTTCTTTTTACTCAAGCATGACAACTGGGTACTTTTCCACCACTGCGTGAGCATGACAGACAAGGAAGTTCCAGGTGAGCAAAGTTGGAGGGTAAATGGACTTAATACTTAAAGGAAGTGTAGATTCGACCAGCAGAACAAAACCGTAGGCATAGGGGTCGAAATGAATTAAGGTTAGGTTTAGAAAAGGGGCTTACGTTAAGGTTATGTATAGTTTCAGTGAGGTCAAGGAAAGGGTTACTGAGTACTATGGGATGCCTTTCTATCCGATTCTCCTGGAGAATCTTGTCACCGGACGTGCTATCACTTCACATTGGGGCACGTCATGGATTAACATTTTTAGCACCGGTATAAATTGCATGTCTGCCGTGTACGGAAGAACTCAGAGGTGTCGAAAGCTGGGACTATCGTTCCCACATCTCCCGAATGTAAATCAAGCATTAGCCAAATTGTCCTTGGACTGACAAATCATGGCAATCAACAACATAGCATTGTTGAATGCAGGAACAGTCAGGTCTCCAGGCTAGCAGCAGTCCAAGAGATTTAAAGTAAAAATGAGAAAAGTCATCCAGGCTATATGAATGTATCCACATTCATGAGTCCATATGCCACTCGCTATATGGATGTTAGTAAGTTCTATGAGGAGCTGTTAGAGCTATCAATAACATTCATCAGCACAGATGGACTGAGTTTATGGGCAGTCTCTTAGCCAATCCCAGAAGACTAGAAAAGGGACAGGCACTTCAGATTGGACTTCCCAGTGTGTGTTGCTGCTCTGTGTCTTTGTCTCCTGTGTTCTGAGTGGGGGAGTCAGCCTGTGCTGTTTCGGCAGATGAGAGGGTTGAGGGGGAGCTGAGGTGTGCCTGTTCTGTCGCTGGCACCGCCCTCCTCTGCCTCCTCCTCTCTCTGTTGCACGGAGGACAAGTACTGCTCCAGCAGACTGCAGTCCTGACTGCTCCCCCCACCACAAGGAGCCAGCGGCCGCACAGTGTCCAGAGAGTCGCCGGTCCCACAGCTCAGGAAGGTGTCTTCCTGCCCTGCCTGCAGTTCATCTGTTGACTGGAAGCCTGAGTCTGGGAAGGAGAGGACTGTGCAGGCCGGGTTTGCAGTGCTGGAGGCCACAGGCTGTGGGAGTTGAAGAGCTGGGGGGTCACAGAGCCCGGGGGTCGGGGCTGGGGCAGGAGATGACCCAGCCTGAGTCACGCTGGCCAGCTGCCCCTCTACAGAACGCTGCCACTGCTGCATGGACTGAAGCTGCAGACAGATGGGGAGAAGGAGTGAGAAAGGGTGTGTGTATGTGCATCTACATTTGATGCATGACCTTGTTTATCACTGACCTGCCTCCATAGAAACTTCACAGCCTCCTCCTGTACCAGTCTCTTCAACTTCTCCTCTTCATGCTGCTGCCTCACCCTGTACACACAAACAACAATGTATTATTTGGAAGAGTTTGACATATTTGCCTGATATATACGTGATCTTCAACAGAAACAGCTAGATTCCTTCATCCTTTAGACCTATCTGGCTGTGCCTTCAGAAGTGTTGAAAGACAGCTAGCTACAGTGAGGGAAAAAAGTATTTGATCCCCTGCTGATTTTGTATGTTTGCCCACTGACAAAGACATGATCAGTCTATAAATGTAATGGTAGGTTTATTTGAACAGTGAACAGTGAGAGACAGAATAACAACAACAAAATCCAGAAAAACGCATGTAAAAAATGTTATAAATTGATTTGCATTTTAATGAGGGAAATAAGTATTTGACCCCTGTGCAAAACATGACTTAGTACTTGGTGGCAAAACCCTTGTTGGCAATCACAGATGTCAGACGTTTCTTGTAGTTGGCCACCAGGTTTGCACACATCTCAGGAGGGATTTTGTCCCACTCCTCTTTGCAGATCTTCTCCAAGTCATTAAGGTATCGAGCATGATGTTTGGCAACTCGAACCTTCAGCTCCCTCCACAGATTTTCTATGGGATTAAGGTCTGGAGACTGGCTAGGCCACTCCAGGACCTTAATGTGCTTCTTCTTGAGCCACTCCTTTGTTGCCTTGGCCATGTGTTTTGGGTCATTGTCATGCTGGAATACCCATCCACAACCCATTTTCAATGCCCTGGCTGAGAGAAGGAGGTTCTCACCCAAGATTTGACGGTACATGGCCCCGTCCATCGTCCCTTTGATGCGGTGAAGTTGTCCTCTCCCCTTAGCAGAAAAACACCCCCAAAGCATAATGTTTCCACCTCCATGTTTGACGGCGGGGATGGTGTTCTTAGGGGTCATTGGCAGCATTCCTCCTCCTCCAAACACGGCGAGTTGATTTGATGCCAAAGAGCTCCATTTTGGTCTCATCTGACCACAACACTTTCACCCAGTTCTCCTCTGAATCATTCAGATGTTCATTGGCAAACTTCAGACGGCACTGTATATGTGCTTTCTTGAGCAGGGGGACCTTGCGGGCACTGCAGGATTTCAGTCTTTCACGGCGTAGTGTGTTACCAATTGTTTTCTTGGTGACTATGGTCCCAGCTGCCTTGAGATCATTGACAAGATCCTCCCGTGTAGTTCTGGGCTGATTCCTCACTGTTCTCATGATCATTGCAACTCCACGAGGTGAGATCTTGCATGGAGCCCCAGGCCGAGGGAGATTGACAGTTATTTTGTGTTTCTTCCATTTGCGAATAAACGCACCAACTGTTGTCACCTTCTCACCAAGCTGCTTGGCGATGGTCTTGTAGCCCATTCCAGCCTTGTGTAGGTCTACAATCTTGTCCCTGACATCCTTGGAGAGCTCTTTGGTCTTGGCCATGGTGGAGAGTTTGGAATCTGATTGATTGATTGCTTCTGTGGACAGGTTTCTTTTATACAGGTAACAAGCTGAGATTAGGAGCACTCCCTTTAAGAGTGTGCTCCTAATCTCAGCTCGTTACCTGTATAAAAGACACCTGGTAGTCAGAAATCTTTCTGATTGAGAGGGGGTCAAATACTTATTTCCCTCATTAAAATGCAAATCAATTTATAACATTTTTGACATGCGTTTTTCTTGATTTTTTTGTTGTTATTCTGTCTCTCACTGTTCAAATAAACCTACCATTAAAATTATAGACTGATCATTTCTTTGTCAGTGGGCAAATGTACAAAATCAGCAGGGGATCAAATACTTTTTTCCCTCACTGTAGTTACATTAAAAATGTCACTCTGTTGCAGGACAACATATCCCCCAAGTCTTCCAACATTCCAATAGCTATAGCTATATTCTGAAGCATGGCCAAAGACACAATGCTTTGTGAACTCTTTACAAAAGGCTAAATGTCTGCTCTTTATAGTGAAAATTGAAGTTTTGTATGTAGAAATCAACTTATCTAGCCTACCAACAAGTCTATAAACAAATGTGTGACCATACCTTTTAGACAACAACATCCAGACATAGTAATGAACCATGCGCATATGACATTGGTAATCCCTCATGCACAATCACAATTTGGCTGGTTGTGTTCAAGCCTAGTACCAACTGACGTGGTTCAATTAATTGAGGGCTTGATAACTAGTAGCAGTTCATCTTTTATTCTATGCGCTTTGAGATTATTTTTGTAATTAAAATCAATTTACAAATGTAATACATTATCATTAGTTGACTGATTGAAACTGGTGAAGTCTGCACATTTTGTGGTTCCATAAGACCAGGACTGGAGAACAGTGTCTACACTCCAATTCTCTACCCTTCTCCTTAAGTGTGCACTTGTACACTGCCCATCATGAATTTGAAAGGAATGGACTGGTGTGAGGAATATGGTGGAAACTCCCTTCAGCCATGTACGCAGCAATCCAATGCTTTTAAATGCATGAGGGGAGTGAATGAGAGCACCCTTCTGGAGAAGAGTAGAGAATAGGAACGCAGCCCTTGGATTTATTGGGGACTGTTCCATACCTCTCAAACTCTCCAGAAAGGAAGACTATGTGCTCCTGCATCCTGCGCAGGCGGATCTCACACCGCACCTCTTTGGCCAGCGGGTGGCAGCGCCGAGTCCACATTCCCCTCCACCATGCCTGGATACTGACGGCTGCCCTGTCTGCTTCACAGTGGCCCAGCCTATCACATCTCACCACTGCTTTAACTTCCTGCTGAGACCCGGCCCTCACCTCTGCAGCACCGCAGTTTGAGTATGCTCCCTGGAGCAAAGCGCTGTCATTGGTCTGTGATTGGTCATCTCCCATCACAGGTAGACCGGCGGTTGAGGTTAAGGTGCAGGTGAGGTGGCTGTCAGCTGACACCCTTTCTCCCTCTGCCTCCCTCTCGCTCTCCCTCTCCTTCTGGCTCTCACTCTCCAAGGGTGCCTGGAGGGTCTTTTCAGCAAGGGTATTTTTGGGACGAATGAGGTGTTCAGGCGCCAGCGAGTCGGGCTCAAACGTCTCCGTCTCATCCTCACTGTCGGAGCGGGGGGGGTCAGAGGTGACTGGGAGGAAGGTGGACTCGGAGGAGAGCAGGCTGCCATTGAGTTTGTCCTCATCTGTCTGGCTCTGGACGTCCTCCAGGTAGAGGCGCTCTTCCGCACCCCTGAGGGCACGGAGAGGAGGTGCGGCCGCATGGGAGGGGTCGCAGCCCAGCCAGGTGTTCACCTGCAGCGTCGCCAGCTCTGGACACACACACAGAGAAGAGAAAGGAACAGATTACATTTACACACCAGACACACACTGGGATTGATGGGAGTTACAGAATTGAGAAAAACACAAAAACACAGGTAGAGTTCATGTCCTCTACCTGTCTGTCTGGCTAATGGAGCAGTCACAGGCGTTGTGGCTCTGTCTGCCTCTCTGGCTTCCCTTAGTGGAGGCACATGGAAGGGGCTTTGAGTCTCCACATCCAGTTGGGTGGGGTGGGGAGGGCTGGGGGAGCCCCCCTGGGTCTGCTGCAGGAGCTGCCTCTGGTGGAATCTGTAAATATACACAGGTCCCCTGGTTAACTAACATGATACAAAGGAGAGAGGATCCCAATAAAACTGCTGTCTCATCTGCTTCATATTTCTCATCTGGTTAAAAGATACCTTGCGGTACCTTGAAGTTAAATGACCAAAACTAAGCAGAAAAGCCACAGAGGTGCATGGATCCAGTTTAGTGTCAAATGGATTGTAACAATGGGTTGGACTTACACTACCAGTCAAAGGTTTGGACACACCTACTCATTCAAGGGTTTTTCTTTATTTTTACTATTTTTTACATTGTAAAATAATAGTTAAGACATCCAAACTATGAAATAACACATGGAATCATGTAGTAACCACAAAAGTGTTAAACAAATTCAAATAGCCACCCTTTGCCTTGATGACAGCTTTGCACACTCTTGGCATTCTCTTAACCAGCTTCATGAGGTAGTCACCTGGAATGCATTTCAATTAACAGGTGTGCCTTCTTAAAAGTTAATTTGTGGAATTTCTTTCCTTCTTAATGCGTTTGAGACAATCAGCTGTGTTGTGACAAGGTGGGGGGTATTCAGAAGATAGCCCTATTTGGTAAAAAACCAAGTCCATATTATGGCAAGAACAGCTCAAATAAGCAAAGAGAAACAACAGTCCATCATTACTTTAAGACACGAAGGTCAGTCATAACGGATAATGTCAAGAACTTTTAACATTTCTTCAAGTGCAGTCGCAAAAACCATCAAGCGCTATGATGAAACTGGCTCTCATGAGGACCGCCACAGGAATGGAAGAACCAGATTTACCTCTGCTGCAGAGGATAAGTTCATTAGAGTTGCCAGCCTCAGATATTGCAGCCCAAATAAATGCTTCACAGAGTTCAAGTAACAGACACATCTCAACATCAACTGTTCAGAGGAGACTGTGTGAATCAGGCCTTCATGGTCAAATTGCAGCAAAGAAACCACTACTAAAGGACATCGATAAGAAGAAGAGACTTGCTTGGGCCAAGAAACACGAGCAATGGACATTAGACCGGTGGAAATTTGTCCTTTGGTCTGGAGTCCAAATTGGAGATGTTTGGTTCCAACCGCCGTGGCTTTGTGAGATGCGATGAGGGTGAACGGATGATCTCCGCATGTGTAGTTCCCACCGTAAAGCATGGAGGAGGAGGTGTTATGGTGTGGGGGTGCTTTGCTGGTGACAATGTCTGTGATTTATTTAGAATTCAAGGCACACTTAACCAGCATGGCACAGCATTCTGCAGCGATACTCCATCCCATCTGGTTTGGGCTTAGTGGGACTATCATTTGTTTTTCAACAGGACAATGACCCAGCACACCTCCAGGCTGTGTAAGGGCTATTTTACCAAGAAGGAGAGTGATGGAGTGCTGCACCAGATGACCTGGCCTCGACAATCCCCCGACCTCAACCCAATTGAGATGGTTTGGGATGAGTCGGACCGCAGAGTGAAGAAAAAGCAGCCAACAAGTGCTCAGCATATGTGGGAACTCCTTACATTTACATTTTCGTCATTTAGCAGACGCTCTTATCCAGAGCGACTTACAAATTGGTGCATTCACCTTATGATAGCCAGTGGGACAACCACTTTACAATAAAACAAAAAAAAAATCCTTAAAGAGGTGGGGTTTCAAGTGTCTCCGGAAGGTGGTGAGTGACTCCGCTGTCCTGGCGTCGTGAGGGAGCTTGTTCCACCATTGGGGTGCCAGAGCAGCGAACAGTTTTGACTGGGCTGAGCGGGAACTGTGCTTCCGCAGAGGTAGGGGGGCCAGCAGGCCAGAGGTGGATGAACACAATGCCCTCGTTTGGGTGTAGGGACTGATCAGAGCCTGAAGGTACGGAGGTGCCGTTCTCCTCACAGCTCCGTAGGCAAGCACCATGGTCTTGTAGCAGATGTGAGCTTCAACTGGAAGCCAGTGGAGTGTGCGGAGGAGCGGGGTGACGTGAGAGAACTTGGGAAGGTTGAACACCAGACGGGCTGCGGCATTCTGGATGAGTTGTAGGGGTTTAATGGCACAGGCAGGGAGCCCAGGCAACAGCGAGTTGCAGTAATCCAGACGGGAGATGACAAGTGCCTGGATTAGGACCTGTGCCGCTTCCTGTGTAAGGCAGGGTCGTACTCTGCGAATGTTGTAGAGCATGAACCTACAGGATCGGGTCACCGCCTTGATGTTAGCGGAGAGCGACAGGTTGTTGTCCAGGGTCACGCCAAGGCTCTTTGCACTCTGGGAGGAGGACACAACGGAGTTGTCAACCGTGATGGCGAGATCATGGAACGGGCAGTCCTTCCCCGGGAGGAAGAGAAGCTCCGTCTTGCCGAGGTTCAGCTTGAGGTGGTGATCCGTCATCCACACTGATATGTCTGCCAGACATGCAGAGATGCGATTCGCCACCTGGACTGTTGGAAAAGCATTCCAGGTGAAGGTGGTTGAAAGAATGCCAAGACTGTGCAAAGCTTTTATCAAGGCAAAGGGTGGCTATTTGAAGAATCTCAAATATATTTTGATTTGTTTAACACATTTTTGGTTACTACATGATTCCATAGTTTATGTCTTTACTATTATTCTACAATGTAAAAATTTTTAAAAATAAAGAAAAACTCTGGAATGAGTAGGTGTGTCCAAACATTTGACTGGTACTGTATATCTGCCGCTTTTTCCAAGTGATCACAGGGAGGAGAACACATCCACTACCCGTGTGATAGTTAACCTCATTGAACAGCTGTTGGCATCACAGTCCAGTTGTGAATGTATTCTCCTACCTCTGCTTGCTGAGGATCTTCTCCAGCTTGGCATCCTCCACCGTCTCAAGGGCTGGCGTGGAGGTCAAAGGGCACACGGTGGCCAAGTACTGGACCAGCTGCACGTGCTGACCTGGCCGGTATGATCGACCTTTGCCCTGGCTGTACAGCCACTCCGCCTTCAACCTGAGATCACAGACATTAGAAACATTAAATCACCAGCAATAAGAGTGATCATCACTCAACACCTCAAACATTTTAAGTAGCTATTGTCACCTAAAACACAGGGGAGGAACCAGAAAGACCAGACTACAGGAATTTTTTGCATTTTGGTTGTAATCAGTAAATAAAAAAAATCTCCAGCCTAATGGGGCAACTGCTCAAGTCACTTCCCTGGGCAATAAGGCAACCCTTAATTTCAATCCCTGCCTACCCCCCTTCCCCTGCCTAGTTGGCATTTGTAACTTCAATGGAGTTCTGGAACTGGTCTCACCCTTCTTTCTGTGACACCACATATCCGTCCAGGACCTTGAGATTCAGACACCAGCTCATGATGTACGGCCGGTAGTCGTATTTAGGCAATGAGAGGGTTGCCATGACACAGGGGTTAGTCATAATGGAGAGCTGTTCCAGGTCGTGGAGGGGTGCCAGGTAGGATACCTGTGGGAGGCAGAGAGAGAGAGAGAAAGAAAGAGAGACAAGCAGGTGAGAGAGAAGTAGGAGAGAGATTGTTGTAAAAGCAGAGCAGGTGAGAGTACAAAGGAACAAAAAGGCGGGGTCTTTACCTCGTTGAGGTCTCTAATTTCATTCTCTGCCAGGGAGAGGATGGACAGATGGATGGGCAAATGAGCGGGAACGGTCCGCAGCGTCGTAATGCTATTCCCGTGGAGGAGAAGGGTCTACAAGAGAAATGGCAGCCATTCAATCAACACCACAACCAATCACTTAAAAACTCTCCTGCTTATTGCTCCAGAATTCTATCTGCATCCCCATAACTCTGAAAAGCCATGAGACAAGACCTGTTCTCACCTTTAAGGCTAACAGCTTGGTAACATCACCAATGTTGGAGATGTTGTTATCAGACAGGTCCAAGTGTTGGAGAGCCACACAGTTGTTGAGCTGCTCAATGACCTGAGTGAAAAGTGGACATCCAGATTGCATGATCAGGAGACAAAATGTACACAAATACAGAGGGAGTACCTTGTCCACTTTTTTCCCCTCACCTTGATGTTGTTGCCTGCCAAGTTGAGCCACTCCAGGTGTGGCAGGTCTCTCAGCCCTTCAATATAGCCAATACTGTTATTGGGCAGGTTCAGAACTCTCAGCTCGGTCAGACGACACACACCCATCATTCGCACCAGGCGGTTTCCAACAACAGATAGCTGCACAGCACAGAAAACAGGAAAGAGTGAGGCAGAATGAGACAGCAAAACAATATAGAGGGAACAAATCCAACCCAATGTGGTACATTGCAAGTTTGCAACAAGATATAGAAGTAGTAAATGCCCATTATACAAATTAGATTAGGAATTCAACAATATTCAACAATTAAGTTGAACATATTCCATCAAATGTGCTTTGGTGGAAATGCAAATTTAGTCACACAACCAATCATGTAAAAGTACCCAGTAAGAGGGCGTGTACGAAAGGCTGTGACGTATTTGTAGTTAATCATATCAGTAATGTTAGTTCATCATATCAGAGCTGTAGCTCCGCCCACCGGTGAAGTGGAGCAGAGCATGCTGGGCGATCTCCAGCTCAGAGAAGAAGATCAGGTCAAGAGAAGTCAAGTGAGAGAAAGTTCCAGCCATCCTTGTTTTCCCCACCAGTTCCCTTTCATTGTGTTAGCCAAGGCCGGTGTGCGGCCTTGTTGATATACCACACACACTTTGGTTGAAGCAAGTTGCCATACCACTAAGTGCCTTAGCCCATCCATACGACATACACTGTGTGGTGCTGTTCTGTGCCTGTGCATCTTCAGCGTTATTAAACCACCTCAACTGGTATCCTACCTGTCTATCATCTGTGCCCTTAACAGCACATGGGAGCAAACACATAAAGTAAACCTAACCTAAAGAAAATACAGTCCACCAAGTCCTCACTTACAAGGAGCCTACCTGTTGGAGGCCTTGGCTCCTCTCCAGATGGTCCAGTTTCATGATATGGTTCTGGTCCAGGATGAGCGTGTGTGTTTCATCAGAACAGGTGAAACTGGGCTCCAGCTTCTGCAGACCCTGGGCTGACAGGTCCACCACAGGACCTGAAGGGGAAACCGGGAGAAACATAAACATGGGAGTGGATGGATGGATGTATAATCTATTATGCACATGTTGGTAGTATCACCATGAACATGAACGATATCAGCCGGAGGAAAGCTTATACATCTATTATGTACATGGACACACCTTTAAGCAAGATACAGACAAGGAGCCAACTGAAACATGCAAGCTGTCTTGGAGAACTTCTTCATTATGATACAGTTTATTTATACTGGGCCTACTATAGTCTACTATAGTCTGAGGGATGATGAATCATTCACCTTCACTCTGTTGATTGAGTAGCTGATAAAGTAGTGGGTTTGGAGACATGATGGTTGTGAAAATCCAGCATGATATTGGGAGTCTTGCTCAGACAATGAAAACGATTTGTTTCACATATCCAATGCAGCATAGCTTTATTAAAAACACAAATCAATAGGGCCATTGTGATCTGTTGGCCATATATTAGTCCTCCAGTCCTGTAAGCATGACTCTGGACTATCAGTTGACCACATTAGCTGGACAGAGGACAGGATGAGTAGCTACAAACAGTAAGTAGCTCCAGCTAGTTAGCTAGCTAACGTAGGACCGAGACAATCATTTCAAACAAACGTTATAGCTAAATCGTTGACCTGTAAAGTCGAACATCACACAAAGGGCGCTGTCATGCACTCACCATTTGTGTCAAATGTCAAATCTGATATTCCCATTCTGCGAAGAATATACGATAATGCACAAAGTTCGCTAGCCTGGTTCCCAGCGCACAACTGTCTTGTCAGCCAGTACAACAGAAAAACGATTAAGAATTTACCGGAATATGTAGTTCAGAAATGTCCGTTCGCCATAAAGGACCACTATGCTTGGCTTCAAAAAGACTACAAATTAGCTTTACGGCAGCGCGCCACTGTTGTCGATCCTCCTGTGGGAAATATATCTCAATATATTTACAGTTGATAGAAATCCCAATATGAAACGACTGAAATCAGGATGCTGTTTTCAAAGTGTACACTGATCAAATATATCTCTTCAACTTTAAAATACCTTCATTTTGTTCAATTTGTTGATCGGTTCCTTTGGGTTGCCTTTCTATCAAGGCCATACTTCAACGGCTAGAGAAACTTCCAAATGGCTTTTGTTTTTGTTTTTGATAGTCCAAGATTCTCCACTAACGAAAATCCATAAAATGTAATTTTTAAGGAAAAAAACAACGTATTAAATATTTGTTTAAGTTAGACTTAAATAATTACTTTGCCACATTAAATAGAATGCTCTGTAAGAATAAGAAGGTATTGAAATCAATTGATACTCTTAAGCTTTTCAAATTTCTTTGAATGTAAAAACCCTGTATGTTTCTGTTTTTGTGTTTATCTGTTTGTGACGTTTAATGTTCAATTTTTAAGAAGGATGTATAGATTTTTGTAACACATTTGAATTTGTATCCTTCAAAATGTATGGAATTTCAATAAAACAAAAAATATATAATAATAATAAAATACAAATAAAAAAACAATCAAGGCCATACTTCCTGCTTGTGTCAACGCCAAGCAACCGGTCGAGTTGCTGATTGGTCAACTACTTTTTATGAACAACATTTATATTTGAAAATCAAAATACTGCTTCTGATTGAATTTAATGAAAAAACTACATGCTGTGTAGAAAAAAAATCGGTGGGAAAAAATATATAAATTATGAAGAAATCTTACCCATAACTTCGTTTCCATTTCCGCCATCTTTCTTTTCGGTTTTGTGTCCCACTGAATCATCATGAAGTGAGTTTACGGAATAATATCTATTGCCATCAACGCTTTAAAATAACAGTTTTATTGATAGAAATGCACTATTATACAGAATGACACGTTGATCTTCTAATAATTGTTTATATTACTCCGCTACAGGGTCGAGCTGTGCAGTTTCAGTGGGTACAAAATATACCCCGGCCATGGTGTCCGATACGCCAGAATAGATGGGAAGGTAGGGCGCTCTAAATGTCTACTCATTTCCTTCTTCTAATGCCACTTAGTTAAGTTTGGTTTATCGTGGTTGATCACAATAAGCCGTGGCTGACATTGTGTTGAAATTCTTACAATAGAACTGTTCATGGAGTGTTTACTCGGTTCTTGGCCTGTCCCTTGGACAGACGCTGCAATGCAATGCATTCATTGTTGTGACTAAGAGGAGCACAACCACGACCGGAAGTGACTTTTCGTAGTAGTTTGAGAACATTTTAGGTAACTCTTACCCTAATTCTCATAACCTTCTACAGTAATTCTCCTAAACTGCTGTGTAAGTTCTCCTAACATACTACGAAAAAGTCACTTCTGGTCGTAGCTGTATACCACCTAGTCAAAACCTTTATCCAAGGCAGGTATAACAATATTACAACTAGACATGTGCATGTCAACATTACATTGACATTACATTTTAGTCATTTAGCAGACGCTCTTATCCAGAACGACTTACAGTTAGTGAGTGCATACATTTTCATACTGCAATCAATGTAGTTAAGGTTCAATGAAGGGAGTCAGTGTTCCTCCGGTCATCCATCATCACAGCTGGAGACTAATAACTGCATCTGAACCAAGGACAGGAGGCACCTTGACATTTAAATTAGCTGCCAAATAACTGTCATATGCTACAGCTCACTCATGTATAGTTTAACTTACCCCACCCACCCAGGTTTTCCAGTTCCTGAATGCTAAGTGTGAGGCTGCCTTCCTGGCCAAGAGGAACCCCAGACAGATCAACTGGACTGTGCTGTACAGGCGCAAGCACAAGAAGGGCCAGTCAGTAAGTACCATGTGTGCATAATTTCCCCTCAAATGCTGACAAGCAGTGGCTAGTGTGAGTGTTTACCTTGTGATTCAGTTATACAACATAAGTTCTGACATGGTGTGTTTTGGTGTGCCTTTGTTTTTGGCTGCGGGTGGGACGGAGTGCGTGGTTGCCATCTGCGTTATGTGCTGTTGCTAGGCTGTGTCCTACAGCTTGTACGGCAGTGCTCACGCCACACACCTGCGGCCATAGAGCCACTGGAGATCATAGTACTGGCTCTGTGACGTCTCTGACTCCTTACCACTGGCCAGCCTCCATACTCTCCTACAAACCTTATATGTGAGAAAGATGTTAGGGGTTTGCAGTAATGCCGTACACCTGCGTGATTATTACTGTTCATTTGGCACAAAACTATAGTGTTAATGAGAATTCTTATTGGACTAGTTCAGCTACATGAGTGCTACTTAAATTGCAACGTTTTCTCCTGGTGTTGTGCCTACTAATATCCTAACACTCATCAACACTACCAAACTGCCCATACCTGATCCTGAATGTGGCCATGCTGTTCCTGACTGCATGTTGTGTTCATTTCCTGTCCTAACAGGAAGAGGTGACAAAGAAACGCACACGCCGTGCCGTGAAGTTCCAGAGGGCCATCACTGGCGCCTCTCTGGCTGAGATCATGGCCAAGAGGAACCAGAAGCCTGAGGTCCGCAAGGCCCAGCGTGAGCAGGCCATCAGGTGAGGACCTCACCAAAACCATGCTTGACCAGAAACTTGGCTTTAGATGTAAAATGTCAATGGCTGGCATTTTGGTGCCATAAAAAGTGAATTGTCTACTGCTGTAGTGAACTGTTGTGTAGTGTTCAACAATTTAGTGTTGTCAGTTGATCTGTGAAGCACATCTAACTGTTCACACTGTGACACTGAATTTCCTGTGGTACTGCTGTTTTTTATTGTATTTTTCATCTTCAACAGTGAATTGTCAGTCTTGGTTTTTTAGCCACGTAAACGCAATAGATACGCAATAATGGCGTTTTATTACTCTGGTGAGTCAAGGTGTTATTTCTGCAGTCTGGACTCTTGTCTTGTTGGGTTGTTTTGTGGATGTGTGGCATTGGCCTAATTTCTATCGTTCTTTTGTCACCAGAGCTGCCAAGGAGGCCAAGAAGGCAAAGCAGACAACCAAGAAACCCTCTGCCGCTGGTGCTAAGGTAAGCTTAATATAGCCATGTCCATATATAGGACAGTGCGAATCTGATTGGTCAGAAGCCGGTCAGAAAGTAAAACCATTTATGACCTGTGTTTATTAAACGCAGCAAGCCAATTTCCGCAACTGAGCATGTAGCAAGATGCTCCGCAGTTATCATGTTGCAGGAGAGTGACGGGACCACTCACAATCGCATCCTCTTGGATCGCTCTACAATATCTTTGCTTTACATTGCTGCTCTTGGTCACCTCATATCGCTGAGCCTCTGGCATAAATGTATCACATGGTTTTCATTTATGCTTGGAATTCTAATGGCACAAAGTGGTTTACCACCAGTACTGTGGTCAAGTACTAAATTAGATTCTTATTGGAGAGTCCGAAGGCGTTTTCCTTACGTCCCTTTCATATTGACAGAAATCTCACTTTTACCATGCCTGCATTGTTATACCAGCTTTTTCATCTGAAAGGAGTAGGGCTACAGAACTATCGGTTGGGTCGATTTATTTTTGGCCGATTTATTAGCCATTCCTAGTGTATCGGCTTTTCCCATTTATAGCGAGTGCACTTGCCTCGTGTGACACTCCTGCAAGCCGGCGCCACTCATTGCTAGTTAGCCTGTTCTCGAGGAACCTCAGAGCTGCATATAAATGTAGCACACTAATAATGCCACACGGAATGTAGAAATGTTGAAAGCGATAATTCATTTACTGTTACTGCAAAACAATGTCCATACAGGCTGCAGGACTTTACAAGGCAACATACCGCTAGCTAAACAACATTCATTTATAGAGCTAACTTTGCTAGCTATAAAGCTAAGTCAGTTCACTACCCTAGAACTGTATTTGTGATAGCTAATATGCAATCCATAATGCAAAATATGCTAATTTCAAAGCTGATTGTCACCAAATCCCGTGTAGCTCAGTTGGTAGAGCATGGCGCTTGCAACGCCAGGGTTGTGGGTTCGATTCCCACGGGGGACCAGTATAAAAAAAGAATCATGCACTCACTAACTGTAAGTCGCTCTGGATAAGAGCGTCTGCTAAATGACTAAAATGTAAATGTTGTGAATTCGAAGCTGGTGAAATTACTTGGCTTTCCCTTACCAAACTCCCCGAGCTGAACTGCTTGGTTACATGACACAAGTGGTGTCTTCTCTCTTAAAGAGACGGTGCACATTTTTATAAACGACAATGGGCTACTTCTATAATAATGTTGATCAGGTGGCCTAACATGGTCCCAAATGAAAGGGAAACAGATTGTCATCTGTAGCCCCATAGACTAATGAAATCAGCCAAACGAGCTCAATAACTCAATGCATGCACAGTCCTATTGAATATGAATTCACCTGTATTGTGAGTAGGCCTATGCCATCTTGATTTACCCAGTTTATCAAGAGATTTACCATTCAAAAAAGTATTACCGTTATGTAGTTTATTAAAGGCAAATTGACTGTAATGGATGTGTAATTGATTTGTTAATGCATGCATACATAGCATCTCGGAAAATGTTCAAATTAAATATTTATTGGCATAAAATAGCCTCCTTGAACCCCAACATCGATATCGGCACTTAAAAACCCATGTCGTTCACTAGTAGGGAGTAAAAAACATGGTACATTAAAAGCCACCTAAAGACCTAGTCATGATTCCCGCATTTTCACAGACCCTGTAACCAAAATAGTTTAGTTTGGATCCCCATTAGCTGTTGCATAAGCCGCAGCTATACATAAGACTACAAAAGAAAATGAATAGAACAAACGATTACACATTATACAAATCCAAAACCAACTATATAATACCTGTAACCAAAATACAGGTATCGGGTCTGAATGGTTCTGCTTTTTCAGATAAATTCATTAACACTTCCATTGTTTAATACATTTGAAATGCAAATAGACCCCATGGTTTAACACCACCCCTCCCAATTTGCCAGTAACCCACAGTATAAAAGAGGTGTACCTGCAAGAAAGTGTTAAAGGGGCTGTTTGAAAGGGGGTCATCAACATTACCTTATATTTTTTACAGGTAATAAATATACCACATGTCTAAAAGGGGTATTAGTACTTTGTCTAATCTGTACTTTGTCTCCCTCTGTAGGCCCCTGCCAAGGCTGCACCCAAACCCAAGGTGGCAAAGCAAATGAAGGTCAATGCGCCTCGCGTTGGCGGGAAACGCTAAAGCTTTGTTGATTGTGAATAAACTTTCTTGGTAATCAAAGATGTTTGGTGTGTGATCACATTTCTCAGTACTTTTATTTTCTGGATTTGTGTAATTGACAATTGTCTTACCTGATTTGGTCATGCACCCTGAACTGTCCTTCCTTGCTAGTGGACAACAGTCGGGGTTAGTTGGTCATAAGACTCCGAACATTCACATGGTACAGCCAGAGGATGGGCCTCCCCTTGGATTCTGGTTCCTCAAGGTTTCTTCCTTCTAGGGAGTTTTAACTTGCCACTGCTTCTACTTGCTCTTTAGGGGTCTAGGATGGGTTACTGTAAAGCACTTGGTGACAGGAATAGAAATGTAGTGTGTATACAAAGGTGGACCAATCAATGGACTACATGAAGGTCACGTCAAACCAGTAATTTATGCGGAGGCATGGCCATTTCTGTTTGTTCCACCCTTGTGCAACATTTATAAGATGCACTCTTCAAACCTCAATAGCCAATTCCAAGTTAGGTCAAACCATGTTTTGAAATCTGAGCCTGCATACTCGCCCTCCAAGCAATCACCTATTTTAACGATCATATCTGCGCAAAAATGAAACTGGAAACTGCTGCAGAATATGCCAAGATTGAATTCAAACAGTTAACACAAGGGCATATCCATTACAAATACACTAAGTTCATGTTCAATATTACAGTAGGTTTTCTGTGCATTATGGACAATGTAGTTTGCCAGTTATTGCTTAAAGTATATCAGGAGAGGATGACTTTCCAACGTGTAGGATCGATAAACAAAATGTTAAATTTCCATCTACACTATAGTTACATTTAACAGATTATACATCTCCCAATTACCGAGAACTAACCAAAATGAGACAAGGACCTTAACTACAGGGCCAATACAAACCGTGCCTATAGAAAGTCTACACCCCCTTGAACATTTTCCTTTTGTTACAAAGTGGGCTTGAAATGGACTTGTAAATTTGTCATTGATCTACACAATACTCACGTCAAAGTGAAAAGCAAATTCTACACTATATTAAATATAACAAATGTAGTCGTTGCGTAAGTATTCACCCCCCTTGTTTAGGCAAGCCTAAATTAGTTCAGAAGTCAAATTTGGCTAAACAAATCACAAGTTATATGGACTCACTCTAGGGGTTGACATTTTTTTCAAGCACATATTAAATTACAAAGTCCAGGGAGCTTTTTGAAAGCCTCAAAGGGAAGTGATTGGTAGATGGTTAACAATAACAAATCAGACATTTAATTTATCTTAAAGCATGGTTAAGTTAATAATTAGGCTGTGGATGATGTATTAAACCACCCAGACACAAAGATGCAGTCGTCCTTCTGGAAACTGCTTAGGGAGGCCATTGGTGATTTTAAAACGGCTACAGAGTTCAATGGCTGTGATGGGAGAACGGAGGATGGATCAACAACATTGCAGTGACTCCACAATGACCATAACATAGCAAAAATAATACAAATATTCCAAAACATGCATATGTATGCAACAAGGCATTCAAGTAATATGAAGGAAAAAAAATACACAGCAAAATAATACACTTTTTGGCCTAAATGCAAAGCCTTATGTTTGGGGCAAATCCAACAACACATCACTGAGTAACTGCCTCCTTATTATGAAGCACGGTGTTGGCATGCTTGACATAAGCAGACTGGAGTTTTTCAGGATGAAAACAAAACAGGATGGAGCTAAGCACAGGCAAAACCTGTTTGTCTGCTTTACACCAGACACTGGGAGAGGAATTCACCTTTCAGCAGGACAATAACCAACAACACAAAGCCAAATCTACAATGGAGTTGCTTACCAAGAAGGTAGTGAATGTTCCGGAGTGGCCATGTCAGTTTTGACTTAAATCTGCTTGAAATTCTATGGCAAGACTTGAAAATTGCTGGCTAGCCATGATCTCCAACACCTTGACAGAGCTTGAATAATTTTGAAATGATTAATGGGCAAATAATACACAATACAGGTGTGCAAAGCTCTTATAAGACTTACCCAAGACTCACAGCTGTAATTGCTGCCAAATGTGTTTCTAACATTTATTGATTCAGGGGTGAATACTTATCTAATCAAGGTATACAGTTGAAGTCAGAAGTTTACATACACTTAGGTTGGAGTCATTAAAACTCATTTTTCAACCACTCCACAAATTTCTTGTTAACAAACTATAGTTTTGGCAAGTCGGTTAGGACACTCTACTTTGTGCATGACACAAGTAATTTTTCCAACAATTGTTTACAGACAGATTATTTCACTTAGAATTCACTGTATCACAATTCCAGTGGGTCAGAAGCTTACATACACTAAGTTGACTGTGCCTTTAAACAGCTTGGAAAATTCCAGAAAATGATGTCATGGCTTTAGAAGCTTCTGATAGGCTAATTGACATAATTTGAGTCAATTGGAGGTGAACCTGTGGATGTATTTCAAGGCCTACCTTCAAACTCAGTGCTTCTTTGCTTGACATCATGGGAAAATGAAAATAAATCAGCCAAGACCTCAGAATTTTTTTTGTAGACCTCCACAAGTCTGGTTCATCCTTGGAAGCAATTTCAAAACGCCTGAAGGTACCACGTTCATCTGTACAAACAATAGTACGCAAGTATAAACACCATGGGACCACGCAGCCGTCATACCGCTCGCGTTCTGTCTCCTAGAGATGAACGTACTTTGGTTAGAAAAATGAAAATCAATCCCAGAACAACAGCAAAGGACCTTGTGAAGATGCTGGAGGAAACAGGTACAAAAGCATCTATATCCACAGTAAAACGAGTCCTATATCAACATAACCTGAAAGGCCGCTCAGCAAGGAAGAAGCCACTGCTCCAAAACCGCCATAAAAAAGCCAGACCACAGTTTGCAACTGCACATGGGGACAAAGATTGTACTTTTTGGAGAAATGTACTCTGGTCTGATGAAACAAAATTAGAACTGTTTGGCCATAATGACCATCGTTATGTTTGGAGGAAAAAGGGGGTTGCTTGCAAGCCGAAGAACACCATCCCAACCGTGAAGCACGGGGGTGGCAGCATCATGCTGTGGGGGTGCTTTGCTGCAGGAGGGACCGGTACACTTCACAAAATAGATGGCATCATGAGGAAGGAAAATTATGTGGATATATTGAAGCAACATCTCAAGACATCAGTCAGGAAGTTAAAGCTTGGTCGCAAATGGGTTTTCCAAATGGACAATGACCCCAAGCATACTTCCAAAGTTGTGGCAAAATGGCTTAAGGACAACAAAGTCAAGGTATTGGAGTGGCCATCACAAAGCCCTGGCCTCAATCCTATAGAAGATTTGTGGGCAGAACTGAAAAAGCGTGTGCGAGCAAGGAGGCCTACAAACCTGACTCAGTTACACCGGCTCTGTCAGGAGGAATGGGCCAAAATTCACCCAACTTATTGTGGGAAGCTTGTGGAAGGCTACCCGAAACATTTGAGCCAAGTTAAACAATTTAAAGGCAATGCTACCAAATACTAATTGAGTGTATGTAAACCTCTGACCCACTGGGAATGTGATGAAAGAAATAAAAGCTGAAATATATAATTCTCTCTACTATTATTCTGACATCTCACATTCTTAAAATAAAGTGGTGATCATAACTGACCTAAAACAGGGAATTTTTACTAGGATTAAATGTCAGGAATTGTGAAAAACTGAGATTAAATGTATTTGGCTAATGTGTATGTAAACTTCCAACTTCAAATGTACAGTGAGGGAAAAAAGTATTTGATCCCCTGCTGATTTTGTACGTTTGCCCACTGACAAAGAAATGATCAGTCTAATTTTAATGGTAGGTTTATTTGAACAGTGAGAGACAGAATAACAACAAAAAAATCCAGAAAAACACATGTAAAAAATGTTACAAATTGATTTGCATTTTAAATGAGGGAAATAAGTATTTGACCCCTCTGCAAAACATGACTTAGTATTTGGTGGCAAAACCCTTGTTGGCAATCACAGAGGTCAGACGTTTCTTGTAGTTGGCCACCACGTTTGCACACATCTCAGGAGGGATTTTGTTCCACTCCTCTTTGCAGATCTTCTCCAAGTCATTAAGGTTTCGAGCCTGACGTTTGGCAACTTGAACCTTCAGCTCCCTCCACATTCTATGGGATTAAGGTCTGGAGACTGGCTAGGCCACTCCAGGACCTTAACGTGCTTCTTCTTGAGCCACTCCTTTGTTGCCTTGGCCGTGTGTTTTGGGTCATTGTCATGCTGGAATACCCATCCACGACCCATTTTCAATGCCCTGGCTGAGGGAAGGAGGTTCTCACCCAAGATTTGATGGTACATGGCCCCGTCCATCGTCCCTTTGATGCGGTGAAGTTGTCCTGTCCCCTTAGCAGAAAAACACCCCCAACGCATAATGTTTCCACCTCCATGTTTGACGGTGGGCATGGTGTTCTTGGGGCAGCAGTCTTCCTCCTCCAAACACGGCGAGTTGAGTTGATGACAAAGAGCTCGATTTTGGTCTCATCTGACCACAACACTTTCATCCAGTTCTCCTCTGAATCATTCAGATGTTCATTGGCAAACTTCAGACGGCCCTGTATATGTGCTTTCTTGAGCAGGGGGACCTTGCGGGCGCTGCAGGATTTCAGTCCTTCACAGCGTAGTGTGTTACCAATTGTTTTCTTGGTGACTATGGTCCCAGCTGCCTTGAGATCATTGACAAGATCCTCACGTGTAGTTCTGGGCTGATTCCTCACCGTTCTCATGATCATTGCAACTTCACGAGGTGAGATCTTGCATGGAGCCCTAGGCCGAGGGAGATTGACAGTTATTTTGTGTTTCTTCGATTTGCGAATAATCACACCAACTGTTGTCACCTTCTCACCAAGCTGCTTGGCGATGGTCTTGTAGCCCATTCCAGCCTTGTGTAGGTCTACAATCTTGTCCCTGACATCCTTGGAGAGCTCTTTGGTCTTGGCCATTGTGGAGAGTTTGGAATCTGATTGATTGATTGCTTCTGTGGACAGGTGTCTTTTATACAGGTAACAAACTGAGATTAGGAGCACTCCCTTTAATAATAAAAAATAATATGCCACTTAGCAGACGCTTTTATCCAAAGCGACTTACAGTCATGCGTGCATACATTTTTGTGTATGGGTGGTCCCGGGGATCGAACCCACTACCCTGGCGTTACAAGCGCCGTGCTCTACCAGCTGAGCTACAGAGGACCACAGAGTGTGCTCCTAATCTCAGCTCGTTAACTGTATAAAAAACACCTGGGAGCCAGAAATCTTTCTGATTGAGAGGGGGTCAAATACTTATTTCCCTCATTAAAATGCAAATCAATTCATAACATTTTTTACATGCGTTTTTCTGATTTTTTTGGTTGTTATTCTGTCTCTCACTGTTCAAATAAACCTACCATTAAAATTAGACTGATCATTTCTTTGTCAGTGGGCAAACTTACAAAATCAGCAGGGGATCAAATACTTTTTTCCCTCACTGTATGTGTTTTCTTTTTCATTAATTTTAAAGATTTTGAATTTTTCTTCCACTGTGACAGATTGTGTAGCTCGTTGACAAAAAATTACAATTCAATCCATTTGAATCCCACTTTGTAACACAAAATGTGAAGAAATCCAAAGGGGGTGTAGACTTTCTATATGCATTGTATCCCTAAAGTTTTCCTTATTGGCTCTAAGTACCACACTAGATTCAGCCCCAAAGACCGCAACACCTAACATTACCAAACGATCAGGGAAAGAAAGCTGGTGATTTCATGTTACTATTAGCAATAGGCAGGGTGCCATTTACACTAGATCTACAGTTAAAAGCTACTATATTAAATGTTTTTTACCTGATATTGGTTAAAGCAATTACAACACGTTGAAGGAACAGTCAGCCACATGGCATGCGTGTATGGCTTAATCATCCTTCAGGTATGAATGTAGAAATAGTTACCAAAATGATTTAATAAATAGTTGATAAGCATGTGGTATGAAAAAGTGACACGTCTAATAAAATAAATACTTGGAGACATTCCTTTTAACCACATTCAACACAGATTCAAGATCTTCATTCTTAGGAAACCACTCCATGAGGTATCATGACTACAAAAAAAAAAGTTTGGAAAAAAGCTACATCTTCCCAAAAAATGCATTATAAATATTAATAATGAAATGTGTATATTCTTAAATTAATATACAATCATACAACTTGTCGCATTAAGTAAAACTTCAAAATACAACATATTGTGCATAGATGACAACCATTTGAGTGTGTTTTGGTAAGGGTTAATATGCCATTATAAACCTGAAGAAATGCAGGCAAATTACATGAACTTCAGCAAGGAACATTGTTTTTTTTCTACTGTAAAATTGAACGAGGGTGGAGGGGCTGGGTTTGTGCCAGTGATGAGGCTCCCTTTCGATCCAGGGAGTTGGATTGGTGACACTCAACACTCTGCAGGGTGAGCCTCCTTTGCTAGTGTCTTCTTCCCTTGCTCATACCTATAGTGTGGGATAAGGCAACAGACGAAAAAAAAAAAAAAAGTAGGTTTATGTCAACTTATTCTAATACATTTGCCCTCATATACTTCCAAGGAAATAAAGCTAAATATTAAGAAAGCAAAGAAACTAAAACACAGACCTTTAGTTACAACAGTTTATGAGCCTTCAGATTAATTATTTAGGAATCAACAAGGATAGAACATTTACTGGGGCTGTTTATGGCAATGCCCAATCAATAGGTCTTCATTCCATTTATGTGCTCTGAGAGGTTCACTTACTGGAAGATCCTGTAGAGCTGGGATATTCCAGCACTACCCACAAATAAATTGACAGCGAAGAGGTTCCAGTTCTTTGGAATGATGACCAAAGAGTATCTGGACCAGGTCAGACCTGAGAAAGTGGGAAATGGGATTAGTCAAGGAGTGAAGTTGTTTGACTAAAGAATACAGGATTAATTTAAAACTATACCTGTTGCTCACTGAAGAATATAGTAACTCCACTATACCTGTGGCTGTCAGTACACCAGACTGGGAAAGACTCAGTTTCTCGGCTGGTCGACTCATATCTGCCAGACCAGCCCCAACCAGCCCCTATATAGATGAAGAGATGCATGTGACCTGGAATTAGTTTCATTAGACAATACCTTCCTACATGTTTACGTAAGGCAATAGCTCAAGTTTAGCAAATGCAGCCCTTACCCATTTGAACATTGGGGCCCAGAAGAAAACAGTCCTTGGACCTGGAATGAGAGAAGAGAAGACACAATCCATGAGAAAATGTTACAGAACAGAAAAAATATCAGACAATACTTTGTAAAAAAGTTAGTGTTGTCACAACAATGTTATAACATACGATAATCTTCCATGAAGCACTCTTTTACCACTACCATAGACTCATTTAAAAGGGCAATTCCGCCACTTTTTAACCTCAGCTCCATTATCTTCAGCACCATACCAGTGTCTACATTTGTGAAAACTGCACGTTTCTATGATCTGTGGTTAAAAAGAATAATGGTCCTAAAACATTATTCTCTGTGACATCACAGTATAGGATTAAAATTAAGAAAAACAGTGATTTTCTAAATTTGCAATGAGTTTCTAGCCAGAGGGAGGGTATTTTCTTGCTCCCTAAGTCACCGCGAATCTCAGTGTTTGAAAATCAGTTTTTTAAATGTTGTAACTTTTGATGTCGTCATCGGGTATTAATCTTTTCACTTTATATATTTGTTTATACAAAACGTAAATCTGCCATTTTCACATATGTAGACACTGGTATTGTGCTGGAGATAATGAACATGAGGTTGAAAAGTGGTGGAATTGCCCTTTAACTGACATAACCACAGTGCTTACAGTGGGGGAAAAAAGTATTTAGTCAGCCACCAATTGTGCAAGTTCTCCCACTTAAAAAGATGAGAGAGGCCTGTAATTTTCATCATAGGTACACGTCAACTATGACAGACAAATTTAGATTTTTTTTCTCCAGAAAATCACATTGTAGGATTTTTAATGAATTTATTTGCAAATTATGGTGGAAAATAAGTATTTGGTCACCTACAAACAAGCAAGATTTCTGGCTCTCACAGACCTGTAACTTCTCCTTTAAGAGGCTCCTCTGTCCTCCACTCGTTACCTGTATTAATGGCACCTGTTTGAACTTGTTATCAGTATAAAAGACACCTGTCCACAACCTCAAACAGTCACACTCCAAACTCCACTATGGCCAAGACCAAAGAGCTGTCAAAGGACACCAGAAACAAAATTGTAGACCTGCACCAGGCTGGGAAGACTGAATCTGCAATAGGTAAGCAGCTTGGTTTGAATAAATCAATTGTGGGAGCAATTATTAGGAAATGGAAGACAAACAAGACCACTGATAATCTCCCTCGTCTGGGGCTCCACGCAAGATCTCACCCCGTGGGGTCAAAATGATCACAAGAACGGTGAGCAAAAATCCCAGAACCACACGGGGGGACCTAGTGAATGACCTGCAGAGAGCTGGGACCAAAGTAACAAAGCCTACCATCAGTAACACACTACGCCGCCAGGGACTCGAATCCTGCAGTGCCAGACGTGTCCCCCTGCTTAAGCCAGTACATGTCCAGGCCCGTCTGAAGTTTGCTAGAGTGCATTTGGATGATCCAGAAGAGGATTGGGAGAATGTCATATGGTCAGATGAAACCAAAATAGAACTTTTTGGTAAAAACTCAACTCGTCGTGTTTGGAGGACAAAGAATGCTGAGTTGCATCCAAAGAACACCATACCTACTGTGAAGCATGGGGGTGGAAACATCATGCTTTGGGGCTGTTTTTCTGCAAAGGGACCAGGACGACTGATCCGTGTAAAGGAAAGAATGAATGGGGCCATGTATCATGAGATTTTGAGTGAAAACCTCCTTCCATCAGCAAGGGCATTGAAGATGAAACGTGGCTGGGTCTTTCAGCATGACAATGATCCCAAACACACCGCCCGGGCAACGAAGGAGTGGCTTCGTAAGAAGCATTTCAAGGTCCTGGAGTGGCCTAGCCAGTCTCCAGATCTCAACCCCATAGAAAATCTTTGGAGGGAGTTGAAAGTCCGTGTTGCCCAGCGACAGCCCCAAAACATCACTGCTCTAGAGGAGGTCTGCATGGAGGAATGGGCCAAAATACCAGCAACAGTGTGTGAAAACCTTGTGAAGACTTACAGAAAACGTTTGACCTGTGTCAGTGCCAACAAAGGGTATATAACAAAGTATTGAGAAACTTTTGTTATTGACCAAATACTTATTTTCCACCATAATTTGCAAATAAATTCATTAAAAATCCTACAATGTGATTTTCTGGATTTTTTTTCTCATTTTGTCTGTCATAGTTGACGTGTACCTATGATGAAAATTACAGGCCTCTCTCATCTTTTTAAGTGGGAGAACTTGCACAATTGGTGGCTGACTAAATACTTTTTTTCCCCACTGTACATCCTGATCAAGAGGTCAGTTAGAGCTATGTCAGAGGCACACTAAATGAAACATCATTGCACTGACTATTCCTCTGACTTAGTTCAGGGCAGGGAAATCTTCGACACCTAATACTTCATATGACTGATGGTTGTGGATTGGTAGGCTTAACTATTTTAATTGTTCCGCTATCACCATCTACCCCATTGGTAACCAAAGTAGGCTGAATGACCTCTCCTAAGAAACATCTCACACCCCATGAATAAGATGATAGATCAAGCCATGGTCATGCTAGGCTGCCACAATAAGGTCCTGATAATGAGGAATTCATTGAAGAAAAAAAAAAGATCTGTGCAAGGTTTCCCCCTCCTATATAAAAAAAAGTAACATTGGCAGCATGCAACTATTAGTGATAACCACAACAGAGCAGCATGCTGTTCAGCAAAATATACACACCAGATAGGCCTACATAGGATGCTATGCAACAGGTTATACCAGTGTTACAGCTTTGGCCCTTTACAACATTTGTCTGCCGAAGGCACATTCAGGTAACTGCCAAAATAATGGAAACACCAACATAAAGTGTCTTAATAGGGCGCTGGGCCACCCCGAGCCGCCAGAACAGCTTCAATGCGCCTTGACATAGATTCTACAAGTGTCTGGAACTCTATTGGAGGGATGCAACACCATTCTTCTATGAGAAATTCCATCATTTGGTGTTTTGTTGATGGTGGTGGAAAACGCTGTCTCAGGCACCGCGTCAGAATCTCCCATAAGTGTTCGATTAGGTTGAGATCTGGTGACAGACGGCCATGGCATATGGTTTACATCGTTTTCATGCTCATAAAACCCATTCAGTGACCACTCGTGCCCTGTGGATGGGTACACTGTCATCCACTCCCATCAGGATAGAAATGATTCACCATAAGCTGAAGGTCATCACTTAGAAGCATTTACCTTGCCCTTGAACATATAACACATCTTATCACCTGTGCACAATGGTGAGTCTGTCCTCTCCCAAGATATACACAGGTTATAGAAAAAATATCAGATTTTGTAAGGACAAAGGTTAGTAACAGCTGTAGCTAAATATACTGGTGTAGGTGAGTGTTCAAAGACCACAAATGATGACAAGGAGCTTGCTCCCAACTTCCTTGAAAACATTAAACCACTCATTCTGTGAGGAACCATGCCAATGCTGAAAATGCTACACTTAGCTACCAATCTCTTTGGTATTGGGCAATTCCACAGTAACAGAGTGATGCTGACTCAGATATTTTACTTTAAAATGTATATGTCAAACAAAAACCAATCACTGCAAAGTTGATCAAACCATACAGCTCTATTCACAAGGACTATTTTAACAATTTCCACCGAAAATTTTAGAAAAACATTTACTTGAAAAACACCTGCAGATGCAAAGTTTAGTAACAGAATGACAGCACAAACTATTTCCAATTTCAGTGGAAATTGTTAAAAGTAGTCTTTGCATATAGTTGTATGGTTTGTTTAACTTTGCAATCGTCGTTTTTTGTTTGACATACATTTTAAAGTGAAACATCTAAGTCTCAGCATCACTCTGTGACAGTGGAGTTGCCCTATTGCATTCCAAAAATCCCTCTCACATACACAAACCTACACGTGACCTGCAACCAATGATGTCCATGTCTGCGCTGCAACCCCACTCATGCAGCCAGCTACTGTGTACCATAATATGTACACACTGGGATAACTAATCTGAAAAGCAGTTGGCTGGTGCTAGCTAGCTCTTTACAGATTTAGAGGCTCCAAATCTGTATTTTGCCATTTGTTTGGGTTTAAAACACTAAGATAAGCAAGAGTGGCGATAATAGTAGCTATTGGTTGCATACATCAAAAGATTCAGCAAGGTATTTTGACATCAATCACTAAGCAAGGCCACTTCAGCAACAACAGCGGTCATCAGTCTCGCTAGACATCCGTGTAGCCTCCCACAATTCTCAAATGCTCTGGCCTAGGGTCTGGTTTCCAAGACTATGGAGGTTACTCAGAAGAGGAAAGGGAGAACCATCCTACTTAGTGAATTTCAGAAAATGTTTAAAAAATAACAAATTTAAATGTAAAGTGTCCTTTTTAGATAAAACTACACAAATATATTCACATCACCAAATACCTGATTAAAACACTTTTGCAATGAGGGTCTACCGTAGTCTCAACAGCACCCTCTAAGGTAGCGCATGGTGTTGCCGGAAGACATCTATTTTCTGTACTCTGGCTACATTGACTTCAATAAATAAATAAAACACGAGGCTCGTGCTCCTCACCCCCTTCCATAAGCCCTATTCGGATGGGATAATATTTACTGGGGGAGCTCAGGTAATGTAATAATGTGCACGATCACAAATCACCACATCCGTCATTTCAGTCCCGTCCGAATTTACCATGTCAGTAATTTTTACTTGGCAGGAAGGTTATTATCCTAGCCCTAACAACCTACTGTTTTTTGGCAAACTCCCAGGTCCCCTGATAATACTTATCCCGTGCTTAATTCGTGTGTTTTGAGGGATATTACAGAGTTTAACAGGTGCTGCACCCAGTTTGGGTAAGAACATGGTAACAAATTGATGCTTAAAACAAAGTGCTATGCACGTAGCCTACAGATGAATTAACTGTTTTGTAACAAACTTTCCTAATGCCATTCTTCTCATTTAAAATATGAAGTGGACGATATTGTGCCAATTAATTGATAAATTGTCAAATACGTCAGGTAATTCAATGTCTGCATAGGTTACTGTTCATGGTTCTTACTGATATGCATTATTATTTTGACTTTCTCCGAACTGAAGGCCATTAGGCCAATATTAGGCTATCCCTAGACATTTGAAATATCTTCACGCCTAGAAGAGCCTCGAGGCTTCCGTCATAACGGTCAATTTTGAACGAGGGAAACAAATAATTACAGGGGCAGTTTGGTAAAACTAATCCATGTCCGAATCGTCCACTGGAAAAATGTACCTGCTGGGGTAATAATTACATAACCGACGTTCTATAGTAATACAAGTCCCGTGCGAATAGGGCTATAGACCTACATGGTAATCATGACGACTTCCAGAGGACATCCTCCAACCAATCAAAGCTTTTGCAGTATGAACTGACATGTTGTCAATCCAATCAAAGTGTGTGCGCATGTAATTTAGAAGCTTGGTGAGTTGGTGACATTGTTGGACAGATTAAGACACTTGAGCATTTTTTGGATATTATACAATTCAAATTAGTTTCTTCAAATTACAGGAGACAGAGGTAGATTATATATTGTTTTCTTGGTTTTAGAACATAATGTGTCCAGTTAGTGCAATGTATTTCAATTTGCCTTGATAACTTTAGTAGCAAGACGCTAGCTAGCTACAGAGTGCAGTTTTCTCCACCAGAATGGCTAGCTAACACTGACGATAATGTAGTGGATTTTTTGTTGACTAATTATTTTGATAGCTTCCATCACATCATCCATTAAAAGAGGTTGGCGTATAATTTGTTTTTGCAAATGGATGAAATCACAGACATCAGCTGTCGCTCGCAGTTGTCAGTTACTGTCAGGTATGTGGATGATCAGGGCTTTATTCAGGAACGTTTCTTCTGCTACTTTGATGTGTCAAGTGGGCGAAATACTCAGTCTGTGTTTGACTTTGTGAATTCTGAGATGTCCGAGTTTAACTTCATGGAGAAACTTGTTGCCCAAACTTACGATGGTGCAACTAATGGAATGTACCCGCTGTTTGTATTTACAGCTAAATCCCCTCCTGTTCCCTGATTAAGAGGTGATGACCACTCCACTACCATTGTAAACTCTCTCCTGACATCAACTGAAGCCATGTCTCATGTGCCCTCTCATCCACTGGCGCATTGAATGTTTCCTCTCCAAGCACTGTGAGTAGCCCTGTCAATCACATACACAATCGCATTATTACACAATGTGATTTTAATCCTTTCTTGGACTAGGCTAAATCATTCTTAGCTCTTTTGTCTAAAGGTCTTGTGTTATGTCTTTTTGTCTTCCCAGTCAAATCCTGTCCTGCCCTCAGTGGAAGAGTTGAGCTCTTCTCCAACACCATCCATGAGGAGCCTGTCCTGAACTAAAGCCTAGACTCTGAACACCTCAACCCTTATCATGCACTGAAGTCAAGCCTCTGAAGAACACATGCCTCATACCCTTCCCAACACTGTAAGTAGCCCTCTCATTCAGCATAATATTTTACTATAGTATAAATGTCTTGAAATGTTTTAGGTTAAAATAATTCGTATTTGACTTTTTTCAACAAACGTTGTCTCCGTGCTGTCAGCGCCTATAACGTGGGCTTCCCATCCTCCTCAATTTTTCAAGTCACCAGCCTCCACTGTGGTCTAGACACCAGTAGCTAATGATAATCCATGGCTAACGCTGGCTGTCACACAGTCTAATAGCATTTACATTACCTGCAGGGTGATTGTAGAGAGGTCTCAGTTTGGCTGGCAAAATAAGCCCGATCTTGTCCAGGAGCTTGTGATAGGAAGCTCTCATCGCAGCCATGTTTGCAAGAGGCTAATGTTGTTGTCTAGCTACAGTACACTTGACCTAGCAAGCTAGCTTGCTAAATATGTAGCGTAGCTTGCTAGCAACGAAGCAGGTCGAGTTTGACTTTAACACGCTCGAGTATTGCCCTGTATCTTAAATGTACAACAATGTTTTGCAGTCATAAAACGGTTCCGATTTGTCCTGCTTTCGACACAAACCGACTGCCATGTAGCTAGCCATACGTGTATGCTAGCACAGCGCTCGACATCCCTGATTGCCTCGGTTTGAGAGCTATTGCAAGGTGGTGACTTTTCTTCACTGCGCAACCTATCTAGCACAGTACCACAACAAGCCGCCCCTGATTACTATTGGTGCATTGGTCCAATCCTCCCAAAAATGATTATTCTTCTTCTGTGGATTTTATGGCGGACTACATCCCCAAAAGGTGTATTCTCCCGACATGATTGGTTTAAAGTAAACCGTTAATATAAATAGTGTACAAAACATTAGGAACACCTTCCTAATATTGAGTTGCAACCCAGAACAGCCTCAATTCGTTGAGGAATGGACTCTACAAGGTGTCGAAAGCGTTCCACGGGGATGCTGGCCCATGTTTACTCTAATACTTCCCACAGTTGTGTCAAGTTGGCTGGATGTGATTTGAGTGGTGGACCATTCTTGATACATACGGGAAACTGTTGAGCGTGAAAACCCCAGCACCGTTGCAGTTCTTGACACACTCAAACCGGTGGGCCTGGCACCTACTACCATATCCCTCAAAGACACTTAGCTAAATATTTTGTCTTGCCCATTCACCCTCTGAATGGCACACATACACAATCCATGTCTCAAGGCTTCAAAATCCTTCTTTAACTTCTTCTTCGATTTGGTTTAATGGCGGTTGGCATCCAATAAATGTTGCATTACTGCCACCTACTAGACTGGAGTATAACTACCTTATACTTTGCTTTAAAAACAAAAAAATACAACAAATACCCTACCATCTAACACTACACTCACAAAAAATAAAAAATAAAATAACTACCATACTCTACTATTTAAATATATTTATTCCTACTTCAGGCCAACAGCCTGAAAGGATGAGACACCACCACTTAACACACCCTGTAACTCTTCTGATGTCAAATCTCGCACACCCAAATACCTCTCTGCAGCTGCCCCCACAACCTCTATGTTCTGCGACTTAAGTTCCATCCCTGCAGTACAGTTGATAACCATTGCTATAAATGCCAAAAATCCAATCTTACTGAAACATAAATCACTTGTTGGTTTATCCCTCTGTACTGGTACAGATCTACTACTCACACCATTCCTCTCAGGATCCCTCCCCCTTGACCTATCTTCCTCTACGTTCTTCACTGCCTCAGCATATGACAACTTCTGCACTACTCTAACCCTGGAAACCTCAACCTGCCTCTCTCGCACTGGACATTTCAGATCCCTAGCCCCATGGGCACCCCTACAATTAACAGATACCACTACATTCTCCAATGCTACACATTCCTTTGTCTCATGCCCTTCTGCACACTTCTCACACCTAGGAACCTCCCTCCTACACACTGCTGCCACATGCCCATAAGCTTGACACCTGTAACAATGTAATGTATTCGGCACAAAAGCTCGTACCGGATAACTTATATATCCTAACATCACTTTGTTGGGCAAAGACTCAACATCAAAACTCAAAAGAACAGACAATGACTCTTCTGTTTCTCCACTCACGCCACCCTGTCTGCATCGCACCAAACGACGAGCATCACAAACACCAGGAATATTCCCCTTCAGTTGGTCAGCTTTCACATTTACCGCTACCCCAGTAATCACGCCTTTCAATGGCACTTTTCTTGAGAGCAAAACAATTCACATCTCTTGCCCCCATTCGTTTAACACAGAGCGCCTGCTCCCTCTGACCAGCAAAAACACAAACAATTATCACTAGACCACTTCTGGTTACCCTCACCGATTCCACAGCACCCAACTCTGTTTTCACCCACCCTGAAACCACAAATGGATCAGCCAAAAGGCAAGGGTCCACTTTTTCCCAAAACTTCACTCCTACTGTCACAGACTCATCTTTATCCTGACCCTCGGTGCAAACCTCGGGCTCTGAGAACTTCGCCACACATACCCCCACCGATACTTCGCCGTCATTCACTTCCATTTCTCCTCATGTCTTCAACTCACTCTGCTTACACTTTCTTCTTTAACAAACCATTTCCCTTTTTACCGCCATTTTTAACTGACTACCGCCATTCTGTTGCAAAACGTTTCTTAAACGGAGGCAAACGAAACAGGGAGGGACCTACCTGAATTTGTCTAATTTCCGTTTTGCAATTGTTTGGATTAATGAATACACACCAGGGCCATGTTTATTACGAAAACATTATCGAACATGGCAGATACAAGTAGAGCCGACGTGATTATACATGTCATAGATGCCCGTTTGTTCTACATAGCTTATTTCTATCTTTCAAATTAAATGTTATTGGTCACATAGAAATATTTAGCAGATGTTATCGCAGGTGCAGCGAAATGCTTATATTTCTAACTCCAACAGTACAGTAACACATAACAATACAAAACAATACACACAAAACCCCCAAAATAAAAAGAAATTAAGAAATATCAGAACAAGCAATGTCAGAGTCATGAATATATATATTGAACAAAAATATAAACACAACATGCAACAATTTCAACGATTTTACTGAGTTACAGCTCATATAAGGAAATCAGTCAATTTAAATAAATTCATTAGGCCCTAATCTATGGATTTCACATGATTTGGCAGAGGTGCAGCCATGGGTGGGCATAGGCCTACCCAGGGACGGCCTGTTCAATAGGGCGATATGGGCGACGCACTGCCAAACGGGAAAAGGAAGGGATTTTTTTTCTAATCAATTATATCACGGCAACAGTAGTTATCAGTGTTGTAATCTATACGTCTGATCTGCCACAGTGCCACACTGCCACTAAATGTCGAATCAGGCTAAAGTCGTGCTTCAAATGGCTCCACCCCCTTTTGGGGCGATTTCAGTCAGATTGAAAATCGCCCAGAACTTCTGTCATAGACTCCCATGTAAAATCTATTTTTTTCAAATTTCAGAGCCTTCAATACAATCTCAATGGGTGTCTGTGGGCTTGCACTTACGCGCTTTCGTCACATGAACGTAACTAAGAAAAGAGCGGGTAGCAGCGTCAATCAATTCACTACTACTATCAACATGGCTAGGCTTCAGTGCAACTCGGTTGTGTCTTTGAAAGAATTTCCTTTTTGTCGGCGAACAAATGAAGATAAATTGGCAACGAAACAATTAGGACCTCCCAGACCAAATTTAATAATTCAACAGGTTTCTACTAAAGGCGGAAAGTCCTACACCCGAGGATTTTCCAAAAATTGGTACGAACGAAAAAAGACATTGCCACTCACTCAACTGGATGACGAGGGATACAGGCTAGCTGTCCGCCGCCACAACGATGAGGTTAGTGTTGATAATCACAAGTTTACTGGATGTGGATATGGTGTAATAAAGGCAGTTTATTCAGAGGTAAATATATCTGGAATCGCGTTCACGGACCCGTTCGTCAAACTCTTAAAAATGAACTTGGGCTGGGAATTGCCAGGAACCTCACGATAAGATATATGCATCAGCATTGCGAGTCTCATGATTCTATACGTATTGCGATTCGATACTGTGATTTTATTGCGCACCATATGTCTGTTGCAGAGGGATCAGAAAGCCATGAGAACGAGTTTTGATCAGTCATGGAAATAAAAGTGCTGAAAACAAATTGGCTCCCAATGTGAAAAGATTGAGAACAAGCTATGAAGGAACAATAATGGTGTTTTGGTGCAGGTACAGCCAACTAGCGCTAAAATATTGCGATATTGTCAATACAGTATATCGTAAAGTATCACTATGTAACTCGATTTCTTTCACCCCAATCCCTCAAATTAACGGTAAATAACTGAATTGTTTGCCCCACATTTAGCTAAGATGATTAGCTAGCCAGCTAAAATGTTTTAGTTAGTTAGCAGTCGCATCTACAATAGTTTACTGTCAATAACATGTCTCCAAAAATGACGTGGTGTCTCCAATTGTGTTGACATTTTACAATTGCAATGCGCATCCATGAGTATCCACTTTCTGTAGCTCAGCTGGTAGAGCATGGTGCTTGTAACGCCAAGGTAGTGGGTTCGATCCCCGGGACCACCCATACACAAAAATGTATGCACGCATGACTGTAAGTCGCTTTGGATAAAAGCGTCTGCTAAATGGCATATTATTATTATTATTATTATTATTATTATTATTATTATTATTATTATTATTATCTGAAGAGAGCCCCGAAACATTGTGTGCAGACATTTTATGCAATAAATGAAGTAGGTTCAATCTAGTAGTTCTGATCTTCTGATTGGTCCTGATGAGTTGGGCGAGGTCCCCTGCAGGCTACTGTCACTGTTGCATTGGCTCTGAGTCGGGTTCTCTGTCTTCAAATGTTCAGCCTAAGAGAGGGGATTTTTGTGTGTGTGTGTGTGTGTGTGTGTGTGTTTAACAGTGATGATGTGTGTGTGTGTGTGTGTTTAACAGTGATGATGTGTGTGTGTGTGTGTGTTTGTGTGTGTGTGTGTCCTCAGAGCAAGAACTCGTGAGTTGGAAGAACTGAGAGGCCTATGGCGTGGGTGTTGTCCTTGGCCACCTGCTGACAAGGCTGACAAGATAGGACCCTTTTGTCCATTGTTATTGGATAGGAACAGAACTTATAACCAGCTCCTGACCTAAATAGATCTTAGCACAACATTTTACTCAACATATCATATTCCATATTCACTATAACAAATATATTTACTACGACATTAGCAAGAACCGCCACATCCTCAGCCGGCTAATCCAGTGTGTGAAGTTTTGCGGAGTGTTTGAGTTAGCTTTGCGAGGCAAAGATGAAACTGAGGGCTCCACCAACCCTGGTAAGCCAACACTTTTGAGATCAGTCAATAAATGCTTCTGGTATTGACTTATATGCTGCCCCTGTCTTCATGTTGTTGCTGGACATATCTTTTTTTAAATGTGTGTAGGTCACCTAAATCATCAGAAAAATTGCCCCTCCTGAGAATTTTTTCAGGAGCCGCCACTGGGCCTACCCACTTGGCAGCCAGGCCCAGCAAATCA